CCATATGCTTCCAGCGCGGTGGACTCGGAACGATCTTCTCCAAGGATACACAGCGCCAAATTCAACGTCGACGCCAGTACTGCAACCAGTTTCTTCTTGCCTTCGAGAGAGAGACCGTAGGTATAGATCGAAAACGTGACCTTGTGCGCACTGCGGGTATGCGCGAGCGCTGCGGCAAGGGCAGTGGCGCCCGCTTCCGTCTTGATGGAGAGAAAAACGTCACATGGTGCCCCGACGTTGATCTGAGTGCCGCAACGAGCTTCGTCTTGGTTTCGAGCGAGAGACGAAGAGCGTAGAGTATGATGTTGACCGCGTGCGAATTGCGCGTCAGAGCCAGAGCTGTCGTAAAGGCACCGACACACACATCGCTCTGGATCGCAAGGTAGACGTCGCACGCTGTCCCGCGACAGCTCAGCCACTGTGGTAGCGCTCTCAAGACCGTTTTGGCTTGATGGTCTGGGAGCTGGTCGCAACCGAGATCAAGGTGCTTTAGCTTGGGCGACGAGCAAAGCAGCGTTGCCAGCGACTCGATGGCCTCGTCCGAGAATGTCGAAGACGAGAGATCGAGGTGCAAAAGCTGTACCAAATGCGGAAACGTGGTCAAATGAACCTCCTGGAGCGCAAGTTTGGTCAATGTCGGTAGCTGCGGCAAGACGGAGACGACCGCCGTGGCATCGCACGAAGTTCGGGGCCACAAATCCAAGCTTTCGAGACGCGAGGCGGTCGCAATCTTGGCGGCGAGGGCGGCCACATCGGCTTCGTCAAACGCCGGCGGTGGGTCCGTTATGGCATTTTCTTGCTCTTCGATCGAATAGTAGCCGTCGCACATCATGTAATCGCAGATCGTGAGGTGACGCAGTTGTGGCGGCAGCGGCGGCGACGACGGACTCAAAAATGTGCGCGTGAAGCTCGGAATTTCAAACAGCTCGATCGTCTCGAGCGTAGACGACATGAGCATGCCCGTCGCCAGCTCTGCGCCGAGCTCGTTCTCAAAGTCGGTACGATCCAGCTTGAGGTGGCGCGCGGTTGGCAGTGCCAGCCACGCAAGGAGAGCCGTGCAGTCCGACATGCACATGAGACTGCACGAACCAAAGAAAAAGCGCTCGACCTGCGGACACGTTGCGACCACAGTCTTCAGCGCATGGTCAAACGTGCCTTGGTCAAGCCTCTTGTACTGGCTCAAGGTCAGCGTACGCAGACGATGGCACTCCGAGAGGTCGTGCTCGGCGATAGACGCAAAGTCCAGAGCGTTCCCGTAGGAGCTTAGGACTTCAAGATTCACAAGATTGGGAAGCCAATTGCCGAGGGCTGCACGCACGCTAATTGCGTTTTGCTGAACATCGGCGCTCACGGCGGTCGTCGGTGGCAGCTCCGTGGCATGGCAAATGCTTGCCGCAGCGTCCCTGCAGTAGCCGAGTTGAACCTTCTTAAACAGCGGAAGTGCCTTTGTGACGACGCTGGGATTGATGCTGTAGGCTGCGTCCAGACTGGCAATGTGCGGCGTCGGCCAGAGTGGAAGCTCCAAGTCCATGGCCAAGAGCGTCCGTAGCGCGTCAAGCGCGTCATCAAGGCTGCCGTCGGGCGCCGCTTGAAGAAAGGCGTGTGCGTCATCGCCGTCGTCGAGGTAGTGCAGAATCTGCAGCGCAATCGGCGATAGCTGCCACATTGCCGCTCGGTTGTCCGTGGTCATCTCGTGAGTCAAACGGGAAATGACATATCCGGATAAAATTCCATTGCGGAAGGTTCCTCGAGTCCATGGCCAAGAGCGTCCGTAGCGCGTCGAGCGCGTCATCGAGGCTGTCGTTGGGCGCCGCTTGAAGAAAGGCGTGTGCGTCATCGGCGTCGTCGAGGTAGTGCAGAATCTCCAGCGCAATCGGCGATAGCAGCCACGGCGCCGATGTCGCTCGATTGTCGATCGTCAGTTTGAGCGCCTTTTTGAAAATGGCGTATCCGGATTTTGCGCAATTTTCCGGTCCACTGCGATGGGAATAGATCTTCTTCATGCATGCATTCATTTCTCCAGGCTTTCTGCGTCGGGGAGAACTCGTGATATTGTGTCCGAAGCGTGATATTATCACGCTTTGTCTCTTGAGTCGTTCTTGGGCTAACCGTATCTAACCGTGTGATAAAGCCCACTGACTTCATCGAGCATCCGCAGTCCTGTCGGCGGTTCTGGCGGGAAGTCGCTGCATGGCGCGGGCTAGGGTCGTGCGCTTGCAGAGTGCCGCGTTTCAATGCGAACACATCGTCTCTTAGGACCATTGATACTCCTAATCATCGCCATCCTTGACACAGAGTCTCTCCATTCGCGCAGCGAGATTGTGATTGGCTCAATCCTCCCTTTCGCCTTGTCAAAGCAGAGTCGCGGTGCTGCCGTAACGTCTATCGATTGCATAGATTTCTTGTCCGGAAGCGAACGAAGCGCGCACCAACAATGACGAAATCGTCTTTTATGAACC